TGTCTTTAATAATTAAATTAAAAAAAATTTCTGACTTTAACATCATCACGGGTGGCGAGAACTACGACCCTACTGGATGGTGTATACCATTTAAAAAAAAAAAAAAGTTTTTTGCCTGTTACAGGGGCTTCCTTATTACCACGTAGTCTTTTGTTATAATTATATAAATAATATTGTAAATATATTTATTTTAATTAATTTAACCCATTTATAACTAAAAAATTAATTATAGTATTAAAAAACATGAATTTAAAAATTAATTTAATTTTTCTAAATAATAATATCAATTTTTAGTTAATAATAATGATTAATTATTTTAATAATTAAAAAACTTTCATGACCTCCACAAAAATTTATATTAAAATAGCCATTCCCCTGCTACAGTTTAGAACAATGCTCGCGGTTGGCAATTAATAGGCAAAAATCACCTTATCTTTAAAGTAAAAAATATGAATATTGATTTTTAGTCAATTAATGATGGACCGTAATCGCACTTGATAACGTATTCATGTTTGGATTAAATAAAATAAAAGAGGAAGGAATAAAATGATATTGTATTTATGTTCAAAAAAATGATATTGTATTTTTTTATTTCTCTTTATTTCCTGTTCTTCTTCTTTTGTTATTTGAATAAAATAAAATAAAATAAAATAAAAATACTAGAGGACTTCGTTCTCCACTGCTCTAATTTTTTTAATAATTAAATAAATAAATTTTTTTCACTCGCCTGCATTTCTATTCAAAAGAAATATTCTATAAGATGATGTATAATGCAAGTTTGTTAATTATATTATTTTTTTTTTCAAAAAATAAAAGGACAAAAATGGAGTATTTCTCTAAACCGAGCTTGTGTCTCGTAGAGACAACTTGATCTTTTTTTAAAAAGGACTTTTTTTAATTCAAAATTTTTAATTAAATATATAAAATATAGATAAAATAAAATAATAATTATGTAGATTTTAATAAAACTTTATTTAAAAATATGTATTGGAGAAGAAGAATTTTTTTATTAGATGTTTTATTTGAAAGTTAAATATATAAAAATATTAATTTGTATAACATAATATAAATTATAATAATATGACATTAAATTTATTTTTCAATTGTCTCTACTGTACATACTCTAATAAAGTTAATTACAAATAAATATAAAATTTTAATTAATGTACTGTCATCTGCGATGCTTCTTCTTGGAAATATATATCGTTCTTGTCTTTTTCTGTTTTTTTTTTTAACCATGTGAATTTTAAGAGTT